GATGTTTTAAGATCTATGTAATAATGATGTTACAGGAACCATTGGGAATAAAACACACTGGGATTAAACAGTAGTAAAATAAAGTGTTCATTTAATGACAATTTTCTAATTTCTTCTTTTGTAGTACATATAAATGGGTGATTGTGCTGAAAAATAGAGCTAAAGTATTGTAATCTAAACAACATCATCACTACCAAGCAGCATTCCCATTGCTATGGCTATGGCAATGCAAGTGGAACAACAACAAGGCACACAAGAAGAAGACTTTGGTCCTATTCCAATACACAAATTAGAGGTATTTATTTATAGACAACCAATCATCATTTATTTGGGCTGAATGTAGTTCCCACCTATTTTATGTAATTTGCACTGGAAGAAAAGCCAAATTTCCAGCAATAATAAGGCACAAAATTTGTCTTCATGACCAACAATGATAAATTTGCACTGTTAATAAAGAAGAACAGTGATATAGCGATTTCTTATTAATTTCTTATTAATTTCAGTCACATGGTATCAGTGCAAATGATGTGAAAAAATTGGAGGATGCTGGATACCACACGGTAGAAGCAATAGCATATGCACCAAAGAAAGAATTGATTGGTATACGAGGTATAAGTGATGCAAAAGCTGACAAAATATTGGTAAGTTCTTTTTTTGATTCACGTACAGTATTTGCTCTGTTTGGAGGCACACATAAAGAAAAATTGCATCTAAGGTGTAGTATGCTGAGTCGTTTGAACTTGGACACACACACACGTACATGCCTTGCCCAAATGTCAGCCATTCCAGACCAAACTTCAGTTCAGTATGGACTTATTTCATTTAAACCTAATACGAACATTTGACATTATCGATCCCTACCGTAAAATTCGTAATTGTAGCCGCGGCTTAAATTAAAAAGTGAAACTCCTCCTTTCCAGTTAAATTACTAAAAGTTGGGGTGCGGCTTCTATTGCAAACATTTGGCCGAATCGAAAATAACACGGCGCTGGGATATGCAAATTAGACATGTCAGGGGTTAATGAGATGCACGCAACACTTATGGCGCACTGCGATGGGGCACTGCGGGGCAAAAAAATAACACACACATTCGAATGAACACAAACATACATCATATTCACAGTATTTGTAAACGGTAAACTCTTTTGGGAGGGTGTGGTGGCCCTGAAAAGGGCCGTTGGTTTTGTGTATGGACGTTTCCACATGATGTCACGGCAATGGGTTTTCATTTTAAAAACCAAGAAAATCTTTGTCGTCGTCACTGAAAAATATATCGGCAATCTCTTCACCAAGCCATTCGTCTGTCTCAAGATCTTCATAAACCAGGTTATCTTCAGTGCCATCAAGAGCGTTAGATATACCAGTCTTTTTGAAAAAGTTTGACAGTTTGAGACGTAGACATCTTGACCTCAATGACGTGACAATTTTTTTTAGCACACAGGCTCGCCCTGGACTTTTTATTCTATGGAAAGTTGTATCAAAGTAATAAATTTCGAAAAGTAAATTAAACCCTCACGAGATTCATTGATGTAGTTTTTCTCCTGAACTTCAACTTTTATTTTTCTGTTTGTGAGATCGTCGAGTCGGCGTTTTCCCTTGAATATAATTAGGGGGCGGGTTTTTTTGCCTTCCGCTGTGACTGTGAGAACGGCGATGAAGCCTTTTTTTTTCGGAACTTGTTGTTTTTATATGGATGGTTCGGTCGAAGCTTTTGTCCAATGGAGGTACGCACGCGAGTCGACAGCGTGTGACGTTTCTTGAATGAATGAAGCCATTCATCTGAAACTTTGAATGTGCCGTTGGTAGTGATACGTCTTGCCTGCATTTGAAGCTGACAACCAGAGATAGCATTGCCATTTTTTCTATGTCTATCAAATCACTGCATATGGTTTTCATCCAGACTGGTGTTTTTCACCTTATGGCCGGCACCTGGTAATCGTTTGGCACAACGCTTACTGGAGTACAGTTGATCTTTTGCCCGAATCCACTGGCGAACTTGTTTCTCGTTGATCCCAAAATGATCAGCAGTTTTTCGGTTGTTTTTGGACTCAAGTGCCATAGATACAACTTTCAATTTGAAAGCAGCATCGTAAGAAGAACGGCGATTGGACATAGTTGTGGAAATAAATAAATAATGATATAGCGTTTGCGAAAAAAGTTGCGTGAAGCGAATAATGTAGAGCAGTATGGAAACTAAACTCGAGAATGATTTAGCTGTGTATTGGGGGGGTTTATATTAGCTGACTTTATTGTATTGAAAAAATGTTTCACCCAATTATGGACAGGAATTTTTTGAACCGATTATCACTCAATCTTGTGTCTCACTCGTACGAAACATCACACGTCGTACAATAGTGTAAGTATATTGATGTCTGTCACCCATTCATTCTTGTGTTTTAGTCTTTAACGAGGTATGTACGACCTAGAAATAGTGCCGTATGCGAGTACCAAGTTGCGAGTCGCAGGTAGCAAAATATGCCATATGCTAGTGGTAAAAACGGCATATGCGAATGGTAAAATGTATCGTTTGCTAGTAGCAAAGAAGCCCTATGCGAGGGGTAATACAAAGGCTTGTAACGTTTGCTTATAATATAACAACGTACGTTCAATTGTGTTTTATCACAGTAAAATCAAATATTTACCATGGTTATGAAATGATATGTACATGGTTGGTTAAGATTGGCATGATGCTGTTAAGGTTTTTACTTTAGGGGTGATTCATATGCTACATTTTGTGTTCATTCTATATTCTGTATTCACCATTGGCTGCAAATTGTCTTTATTGTTTTTGATTTGTTTTATTTTTTTTAGAAAAG